ATATTCCTGCATTTCAGGCAGTATTCAGTGCAATCATTATTCTCTAGTAGTCCCTCATTTTTCTAGTAGCCCCCCCCCCCCCTCTCTCACACACACACAGACACCCACCCTTGGGCAGGCTGCAGGCCGGGTCCACCCGAGGAAACTGGACGTGTAAAATGGGTGGTGGTTAAAGTCAAATCCTTGCCGTCCGTTACATGCACATACCGGTACATGACATATCAACATGTGATGGGTTAGTGCTGGCCTGCAGGTATTCTGTGGAGAGATTGTTGTAAGGTCGCCCAAGCAGGCCTGCTGCATTTAATTCAATGCTATAGTATAGACCCGGCCACCATGTTCATGCGCGAATTGCGGATATGCGAAGCGCGATGAAATGAAGGTGTGGAGTACAACTAAAAATGTTCCGATGTCATGCGTGCACCTTCTACTATTGCACTCGTCTGACTGATTTTAAACCGTAAAAAAACTATATTGAATGGTTAGAATCACGTTGTTCATTCAATCTGATTTTCATTGCATTCTTTTGCTACACGTCTTTTTTTTTGCAGGACTGGGCTGGGGGTGGAGCGTGTGTAGACTGTTGTACTGTCCGGATAGAAGTAATCCGGGTGATGCTGTTGACCCTCACAAACTGGACGAGACAACGGCCGGTAGCCAGTAGAGTTGGTCACGTGAGCACAGTGCTCCACTCTCACCGGCTTTAATAGAATACAAGCAATATGGTGTGTAGAGGTCAAATACACAGCTTTTTCTTACATGGAACTGAAGAATATTCACACCGTCCAACATTCATGCTGCTGAATTGAAAATTTGCAGATACTCCCCAAATACCACTTGCTCTTTCCAAATACCCATGGCTTTTTTTGACATGAAACTGAAGAAAATTCACTGCTGCTGATTTGAAAATTTGGGAGACATCCAGGTGAGAATATATAAAAATCTCACTAACAAGATTTCCAGGTAGAATTTCCAAATTAAATCACACAACAACATTTTCAGATAGAATTTCCAAGACATGATTTTCAGATGGAATTCCAAAATTTCCACAGTATACAAAGTTTCAACTGTCAATTTCAAGAATAGAACAAAATTGTGATTCGGTAGGAAGGTGAGAAAGTCATCATGAAATTCAAGCAAGAACTATGCAATTTAAGTAAAATTTGGAAAGGAACAGGAACAGGGTAATGAAGTTGGATTTAGGAATGGAATCTGATTTCGAAGTTTGTCTCGGGCGCTAAGAAAGTTGTGAATTATGAAGAAAATGGTTTTTCAACTGGCAACGCTCTATTCAGTTGCTATTCACAATCTTCGCGGATTAAAAATTCTTTATTGTGTGTTTGATTAGTATGGTGGTAAATACACACCTGGCAACATGGCAGTGAATACACGCCTGCCCACACACGCTCTGTAGGCTGCAAAGTTCTGGCACAGAGCTCTCCTTTTCACCACCACCACCAGTTCGCGCCTGGCGCCTAGTCGATGCATGGTTGGCGGTATCCGACATAGCAGGCTGAGTGCATGGCACGTAGAAGATGACACAGCAACGACATAGCTCACCTGCGACGTACGTTTCATCCCCACTGGACTCATCAGGCAATCTTCTTCTTGGATGTCTTCATACGGAGCTTGACTCGGAAGAATGAAGTTGAAGACTCCACTGCAGCTGTACTTATGGTTGATTAGTATGGTGATAAAGACACCCCTGGCTATATGGCAGGAAATACACGCCTGCCCACACACGCTCTCTAGGCTGCAAAGTTCTGGCAAAGACCTCTCCTTCTCACCACCGTTACCCATCAGTTCGCGCCTGGCGCCTAGTCATAGCATAGTTGGGCGGTATCTGACATAGCAGGCTGGTACACCAGGTAGCGCATGGCATATAGAAGATGACAAGCAACGACATAGCTTGATTGCGACGTATGTTTCGAAACGGTATATTTTGACCGTGAAGGTCTCACCGACCTACCACTTCCGACACAGTGCACAATTCATCATATAGATAATGCCAGGGGAATCATACATGCAGCTCGGCAAACCAGACGACCATGAGATGCAGGGGTTGAGCGGTCTTCCTCGCCCCGCTGCTCTCAGCGTCTCTCTCGTTCTTGTGTGACGCTGGACATCTTTGGATTCAGCGATGACTAACGAAGGCATCTTTGAGGTTGTGAGTGTGTTTGACACGACATTGACCGGGAACCCCGACGGTGCTCGACTAAATACACACACGAACACATACCAGCAAGTACAAACACACACGGACAAGTACATGCGTGTGCAAACACACCCACACACACACATACACGCGTGCACGCACATACTCACACATATGCACACGCACATACGCCCACGCACACATGTACACACACACACACACACACACACACATGCGCGCACACACACACACACACACACTCTTGTACTGCTCACTCTACCAAAACTGGTCACGTTGGTCTACCCGGGGAAGGGGGAGAGGTTCAAAACGGATTTTGGAAAGATGATTCAATTGGTTATTGAGCTGCTGTTTTTCTATCAATACGATTCCCACCTAAATTTTTCTATAATTCGAACCTCGAACTGGATATGTCCGGTTAATATTTGAAGTCCCAAGGATTCCACCTACATAGAAAATGTGTGGGATTAGTGCTGATAATTCGAAGTTAGCAACTTAGCAAAGTGCAATTCGAAGTTCACTGTACACTGTACTGCTGGTCAGTTCAGTTTGCATGAGCAGGCTGTGCCGATCAGTTCAGTATCCGTGAAATCTTTTTGTCTCAGGTTCATAGCGCAACTCTGCGTGACCATGAGAGCATTTCGACATACGTAATATTGTGTTGTGGGTTCATGTTTGGATAATTAGAATGTCCAGAAAATTAGAAGTTTTCCCGGCAGTTCAAGTTGAGTTTCGAATTGTCAGGATTCCACCTGTAGTGACAGTGTGTCACTGTGGGTTGTTACATCGCAGTACCCCAACAATGGTGGTAGGTACAAACAACAAACCCTCTAGCTTTCTTTGGTATCATGAACACTTAAAAGAAATGGTTCATTATAAATGAAAACACTTCGTTACAAAGGTTCAATTTTGTATGGGTTCAAAACGGGAACAATACAGAGGTTGAGCTGCATGTTATTTCCGACGCGACCTGCAATTTCATGTCAAATTTGGCGTAAAACTCCTAATTTCGACGCGAGCTGCAGGTCACTCACGATTTTCCAACGCACGAGCCAAATAACGCAAGCTGATTTTTCTCGTCATGTCAAAAATAAGGTGGAGCTTAACCTCTCTATTGGCAATGGCTCACTATAATTATCACGAAATTCGCTATAATTCAAAAAGTTCATAGCTGGAGTCTTACCTTGCAAATAGCTGTCAATGCCTGACCAAGCCGGCCCTGAAGGGGAAGAGCTACTACTAATGACTGCGATACTGCCGCGCAATCCACACGCTGAACCGGCAGTTCTCCGTGCTCCGCCATCCGGTGCCGCACACCTCGCCGACAATTGCGGCTTCTAAAAACCAGCCACGGACATTGATTGCAGCAGTCGCAGTGACTGTGCCGGTAGCACAGCACCCCAACAACCGGCATCAGGCCTACCGCTGAGCAGTGGGCCTGGGGTAGTGTTATCACCACCACCACCGTTGATGATGGTGATAACGACTATGACTGTGACAACAGTACCGCTGCATTGTTTATGGACTGCCAGCCCGCCTGCACAGCACAACCAGCGCCCGCAGACAGGGCATTGCATGGCCCCCCGCTGTTTCAGGATGGGCAGCTAGCGGACATTAAGTGCTTGGGAAGCTTACAACCGGACTGGATAAACAGTCCTCCCACAACCTGGCACAGCAGGCCTACTCAGCACCTTTGCCCGACACATCGAACGCCACTGGTCTCTCCTTTGCTACACCAAACCAGTCCTTCATCACCAGTAGCCGTACATTCCCTCCACACGTTCCGTCCATTACAGGCGGGGTCCATGTGCAGGGTGGGTCTGAGTGAGCCATGCAAACAGGAGCTGCTATGGCACCCGGTCTCCCTGCATTCGCACGACATTGCTCAACCACTGGATCTGCCGCACGCACCAACACACACACACACACACACACACACACACACACACACACACACACACACACACACACACGCACACGCACACATACACACACAACATGCACACATACACACACAACATGCACATATACACACACAACATGCACATATACACACACGTTAGTGGCTTACCTAGGGAGGGGGGTGCCTTGGGTGCTCAAACACCCCCCTGAGATTATTCGACATACATTGTACGTCAACTTGACGCTCATAAACACACACTTTGACTCTGTGACCTTTAGTCCAGTTTACAGAAATAGTGGACGGCCAATTGGAAAGGTTTTGTGTGAGGCTATCCCTGAAATGTGATAATGTGATATTTTTAAAAACAGCATTGTGCCCAAACTAGGAAAGAAGAAAATATATTCATGAAGCTGACTCTTCCTCATAAACATTTTTTGGTGGCATAACGTTACTATAATTATCGGATTTTTCTGATTATCTTTCTCTTCCTTTTCCACTCACTGTCACTGAAAATAGGTCACCTTGTGACTTTTTTTGTGCTATGCCAGGATTAGGAGTATCCAGAGTATCCAAAGTACTTATGTACGCTTGATACTATCAGGCCCGTCACTTGTTTTGTTCTCATTTTTTCATCAACACACTGATTTAATGTTTTTCGCACACTTTCTTCTTTTTTCCATTTCCTCAACTAGTGAACACCGATTATTGTAAGTTTTTCCTCGATAAACTGACTGAAAACAATTGTTCACGATAGTACACTAATCTCTTGTTCAGGCCCTTGGAATCCTAAAAATGCCTTGGCTTCAATAAAAGGGAGGGGGCAACAAGCTTTTGTTCATAAAGGAGAAGGGGAACAGTGGAACAAGTCTTGAGTTTCATGCTTATTACAGTGCAATTGTCGCATCCCTGGCTCCCTGGCACACACATACACACACACACACACACGCACACACACACACGCACGCACACAGATGTCGCCACGGAGAACTAGTCCCAGAGCTTGATGAGGCCATCCCAGCCGCATGTTACGACCTTGGAGGTCTCGTGCAGAAGCCACTCGCAGCCTATACACACTTCATCGTGCGCTTTCATGTTGCTGTACAGTTTACAGGTCTTCCAGTCACACACGCACAGGTTACATCACCATCACGGTATTCACCGCCGGGAGATCACGTACCGGCCATCGGGAGAGAAGCCCGTTTGGCACGCATAACCAGCAACCATGTGCCCCTTGAAGGTCTTCTTTTCGTTGAGGCGCATCTTGTGTGCTGCATCGTAGACGCGGATCTGATTGTCGGAGCTCTGGCAAACCATCCATCGGTTGTTGCGCGACATGCCCACACTTGATACTGCATGCATGGACGGCTCAGCTATGTACTTGCTGTCCACGGGAATTTCCCATTCGCAGACTCACACACTCATCATCGAGTAGGATGTTGAGACAATTCGTTTGTTGTCATCAATAAACGATTGGTGTTGACGGCACCCAAATGACGGTCATACTCCTGCATGATGTCACCACTTGTAGTGCCCCACTGGACTATCTTCTTGTCTGAAGTTCCACACAAGAAGATGTGTTGCTTGTCCTCATCTGGGTTGAACTTGACACAGTACGGGATTTTCTTTGTTGTGTAGCGACCTATGCACTGACCGGTTTCTGTGTCAAGCATCTTCACATAGCGGTCATAGGATGCCATGAGGAACCGCGTTCCATCGTTGTTGAATGAGATGTCACGTACAGCCTTGCTGTGGCCTGTGTATGTACGTACCAGCCGACGATTGTTGTATACTTCCCAAAGCTTGACTTTACTATCCATACTGGCTGAGAGGAATAAGTGGCCGGAGTTGGGAAATAGTCGGATTGCCGATACGCCTTTTGTGTGGCAAGTCCATGTGTGTATGCAGCGCTTGGCCAGGAAGCACTTGTCGGGACCATCCTCGGAGTGAAGGTCAAAATCCAGGTCACGAGGTGCATGCAGAAATGATCTGCCCGGGTAGTTGAGAGGATTGTCGATATGCAGCTAGCTGTGTCTTCTCATCAATGGTCTTGTCGTCTTTCTGACGACTTTGAGCCACTTGGCGTCATTATACTTGTCGAGTACAACCTGTTGTTCCTCTGATGGACGAGAGACTGTCACGTCACTCCGAGGACGCCTTAACACTGCTATATTCCACGTGCGCCTACTCCGGCAACGCCTTCAGTTTTCCGTTGCTCCGAAGCACCTCCAAAAACGCGTACAGAAGTTGAAACTACATGACTCCATCTCCATTGAGAAAGGCCTGAAGCACCTGTTGTTCCTCTGATGGACGAGAGACTGTCAAGTCATCCACGGTTCCCCTTCCCCTTGCCTTGCGACAGGGGGACCAAGATCTTCTGAATCAGACGGATTCAGTGCATTGGAAAGCTTTGAAACAGCTGGAGTAGCGAGGGGAGGTTGCGAGTACACAGCAATATCAACTGGACAGCTGTGAGTTTCTTGTTCAGAAACTGGACAACATTCACCTTCTGGCTGCGGAGCAGAGCAGAGAAGATCTTGGAGAAACAGATCAAGGATTTTGTCAACGGCAATGGGAATGTTTGCTCCATCTCCCACCTGATACCGGATTTAACTTAGAAATAGCCTACATCCCATTTGCAACGGTTGCTTCGTGTGTGTGTGTGTCTGTCTGTTTACAAGACTTATTTGGTGATCAGCTGTTTGAAAAGTCCGTGTCACCGGTCATGACCGTCATGTCCGCGGCCCTCCAGGGTGTCCAAGGGAAGTAAGCGATCTGTTTATTTGAACAGTCTGCGTCACCTATTGTCGTTGGAAACGTGCTTGCAGCCCTGCAGCGTGTCCAAGGAAAAAGGGACTTCGGTGAGACCATGGCGGTTCGATTCAGTCAACCAAGCTCGATGGTGCTCACGACGGTGATAGCCACCGTTGTGATGATGTTGCCTCTCAGTTACTCATGGAGATCAGCTGATTCCAAGTTTCAAAGTTTGATAGCCGTTGTGATGATGTTGCCGAGTGTCAGGTTACTCGCTAAGATAAGCGGATTCCCAGTTTCAAACGCAGATAAGGCCACGCCGTTTTTTTTCTATGTTTCGCGTCACCTTATTCGATGAAATCAATGAGGGAGGGTGAAAAAAATAAAAAAAGCCATCCAAAAAAACACAGTGTACTAGTACGTGCATCGCATTTGTGTACAGTGAAGCGACGCTACATGTACATTGACATGTACATGAATACATGAGTGTATCCCCTCTGCCGTGCTTGTGGTCCAAACGAAGGCGGCATGATGATTGTGTGACTTGCGGCCCAGCTTATTACACACACATGTACATGTACATGGCTTCAAGCAGTGGCTTCAAGCAGTGGCTTCAAGCAGTGGCTTCAAGCAGTGGCGTCAAGCAGTGGCTTCAAGCAGTGGCTTCAAGCAGTGGGAGACTGTTCACTACGTACCCTACCACATAGAGGGCAGTTTACTACAAAGTTAATTTACAGAAGCTATGATCTGCGATCATACGATGATTCTGGTGATCAGCTAAGGACCAAGCCAACAACAACACAAGCCTTATGGCAAGTGTACACTGACCAATACAACTGTAATGTCTGACACTCAGTCGTCCGTGTGTACCAGCACGACTCATCATAGAGGATTCCCAGCCACAATAGGGAATGCCTTCCTGGGTAAAAGTGTCTTGCAATATTGATATTTCTAGAATAAGGACATTGGAATGCTGGAAAGACAAAGCCATCTGAAGGTTCTCCACCTCGAGGGCAATTGATCGACGTTGCGTTCATTGGATAGCGGCTAGGCTGGTCCAATCAATAACACGTCCAGGAACTGAATGTGGATGGCAAGAGAATTATTTTCAGTGAGACAGACGTGTCAGGTCCAGGAGCACGTGTGTTTTGTGACCTGGGAAAGCTGCGGAAGCTGTCACTGATGATTTCAACAAACTTGTGTTGCTGCCACGGAATGTGTTTTTTATTTAACCAGTCTCCATGAACTGTGAGTACTGTATTATCTCTAATATAAGCACAGTCTCCAATAATAGCACGTCTCCAATAATAGAACACGTTGGGGCGGCATTCAAAAAATAAAGTGCTCAGTCTCCATTATACGCACACTGTGTAAATTCATTATCTGTACCGGCGAAAAAACCCTGAAATGTGTGTGTCAATTTGGCATGGCAACATGCCTCTGAAATGAGGTTGAAATAATAATGGAACAGTCTCCAATACAGGAACGTCTCCAATAATAGCACGGGGCGGAGGTACTTTGAAAAAAATAAAGGACCGTGCGTATATTAGAGATAATACGGTATACGTTTGAGAGGACTGAATCCAGGCTAGGGGGGGGGGGGGGGGGGGTTGTGTGCTTGTTAGTTGATGCAGCACTAAACAACCATGCTTTCAAGAGATGAAAAGATCCAAGACAGCACAAGTACACAAGTCTTGCCCCTTAACGTACCATCAAGTCTTGTCCAATTCAGGCTTCCTCTCAGGGTTCCGGTAGGAACGAGCAAAAACAACCAGAGTCCAGCTTTGGCCCTGCAGGATCAGAACGCAGAACAGCACACTTGACTTCAGCGACCTACCCTCTTTATCAGGACTTTATTCCCGTAGCTATGCAAAAGACGTTACTTCAGTAACGTCTGGCGCTAGCCAGGGTCCACACAGCGTTAATTTCGTGTTTGTTTGTTTGTGCCATCGGCATGCCTGGCGTTACCCCGTACCTGTCCCGTACCGTACCGTACCATCAAAGACAGCTGGCCACAAACAGCTGGCCTCAATATTCAAATAGGGCGTTCAAATGCAGAATCATAACGTGAAGCAACTTGGAAGAATGAGTATGTATGCGAAGTGTATCGGGGGAATGCATGCAGGGCGATAGTGCGGGTTCGAATCCCAGGTTAGGTCAACATCCCTATGCATTTTTTGCCTAGGTCATCAAGGTGGTAGACAGTGTCGTATTACCCTCGACCGTACCCGTCCCGTACCGTATCATACCATCAAAGACAGCTGGCCACAATATTCAAAGGCTGTGTTTACATGAGAAATTTCAACCCGGGTCGAGTTCAGCCCGGGTTGAAAGTCTGTACGATAAGACAAAATAGGTGAGCGTTTACATGAAGACAGTTGACCCGGGTCAAATACTGATATGCTGCCAAAATTCCACTTCTCGAGTCCTGTATGGTCATGTGAATTCTTTCGCACGAAATTTGCATGTGCAGTGCTATTCAAACCTGGCACGAGATACGCACAGAAGTACATACAGTCAAATCTGCCATTAGCGACCTCTGCTGTAGGCGACCAATTTTCCGTGCACCGACGGTTTTACATACAAACTGATCTGTCCAGAGCGACCATCTGCTGTGCGTGACCAGCGACGGCGATTTCATGCACGGTGGCTGCATTGAAATTTGCTGTAAGCGACCGCGACCCAGGTTCAGTCAGGTGCGAAACTGTACTTGCCAGTGCGCTGTCGTTGTTGTTGAAATTTTATTTTGTATCGCAGACCAAACGGGCAATGGTGCCCAATATTATGATGGCGATAAAGTAACGGCCGAGAGCCAAGGATACAACAAGCAAGCATCCACGAAAGAGAGAAAAACACAGAAAACACAGACTACAAATACTCAAAAAGAAAAAGAGAAAGGGAAAAAAAAATAAAGAAGAAGAAAGCACAGTTGAGTCACAGTTGAGTCACGACTCCAAGTCCAAGCCTAGATGCTGGATAACCATAAAAGTAAACCTTTAAAAGTCTCTTGAATGATCTATGGCAGGCGAGGGACTTGAACTCTTGGGGCAGGGCGTTCCATAATTTAACAGCAGAAACGAGCGGCCGACAGTCACCAGAGACTCGCCTGGGGGCAGGGACAACATACGCATTTGGATCGTTGATCCGAGTGACGCCTTCAGTCTGGCGACGTAGGCGCTTGGACAGGAGATTACTAATTCTGGCGGTGTGGATACGAAGCATGAGGAGGCGGAGTTTACAGTGGGCGTTTTGGATGATGGGGATGAGGCCTAGACGGGTGTAGATGGGATCTGTGTGGGAGGGGAATGGCTGGTTGGCAACGCAGCGGATACATCGCTTGTCGAGGACCGAAAGCTGATGCCGTTGGTGCGCAGAGAGAACCGAGAAGAAGGCATTAGATCCATATGCCCTATTATCGCACTTTCTGACCGTTTATCATCTCGTTACAGTCGTGGATAGTTGCTGCATAACTCGTTCTCATGTGTTTCTTCTCTTTTTTTTATATCCCTATGCACACGGAAATCCGGTGGAACAAAAGAAAGTGATTAAATGTCTCTACTCACGAGTTTCATGCTGAAAAGCAATCATCAGGAGAGTCTCCTGATGATTGCTTTTCAGCATGAAACTCGCGAGTAGAGACATTTAATCACTTTTTTTGTTCCACCGGATTTCCGTGTGTACTAGGCTGTGCACGCTGTGTATCGAGCACTGTGACTGGTAGTCAAGGTTCTTCTGTGTTATTTCCCTATGTTTTTTTGCCTAGGTCATCAAGGTGGTTGACGGTGTCGTATTACCCTCGAATGCAAAGAGAAAGTTTGATGCAGCCAATCAATGGAAAAAAAACATTTCCATCAGTTCTAATAACATGCATGAGCTAGCTACAAAAGAGTAAAAAAGCATAGCATAGGGCCCTTTGAGCTTCCAAGCTCTCTCGTTCCGTGTTTGTTTGTTTGTTTGTGCCATCGATCATCGGCATGCCTGGCGCTATCCCGTACCTGTCCCGCACCGTACCGTCAAAGACAGCTGGCCACAATATTCAAATAGGGCTTTCAAATGCAAGATCATAATGTGAAGCAATTTAGTATGTATGCGAAGTGTACGGGGGGAATGCATGCAGGGCGATAGTGCGGGTTCGAATCCTAGGTATGTCATGAAAAAATCGGAGAATACGAATACAGTCTACTCGCGATAAGTCACGCACAGTGTCCTGGAACAGAAAATGCGCGACTTACCGCGAGTGCGTGACTTACATTATGCACCACGTCAC